CATGCAGACGTCAAGTCTCACCTTGTGACGGGCACGGGAGACCTCCTTTATCTCCACCAAGCCCTTGTCACGATGATTGATAACAAGTCCCGGTCCTATCGCCAAGAGGCCGCGAGACAGATTCAGCGTCAGCGTAATCAGTACCTCAAGCAGGAATGGCTTGGCATACTTAACCTCCAGATCACATATCAGGCCATTGACCTTATTGCCAAGCAGTATCGCTTTGCCCTCGCCGCCCTGCCTGATCAGCGCGAGCCCAAACCGCTGCGTCCTTGCACGGGCAACTTCGAGCGCCAATACGGCCTACCATGCAGCCATCGCATTCTTGATTGCCTTATGAACGGCACGCCTCTGAGACGGAGCCAGATTGCTATGCGTTGGTGGCTCGAGAAGCCGTTGGTACGTCAGCTTGCCACTGTCACAAGACTTGAGTATTAACAGCCTGCTAGAACGCCGAGGATAAGCTACTTGATATTCGCGACCCGGCTATTGTCAGAAGCGCACGAGGCAGGCCGCGCCTGAACGCCGACAACAAGAAGCTCAAGGTCCCGCGATACCTCAAGATCGCGGATTACACCTCCAATCCAGGAAGTGACGCTGACGATACGGAAGATGACGATGCCGAAGCCGAGCCTGTACAACGGAGTCAAGGCAGGCATCCAGCGCGAGGCCGTGGTCTGAGCCGACAGCCTAGTCAGAATGCTGGCCGAGGAACGCGCCGGTTGAACGCGAGCCTTCGCCGTGACCGCTCTCAATTCGAGCTTGACGAGTTGCAGTCACATGCGTCTCAATCGTCGCGAGGAAACAAGCGTCGACGAGTCCGTGGCGGGGCGGCAGGACGAAGTTGTGCGGAAGCATCACACGCCGAGAGGTCGCCAGCAAACCAGATCCAAGTGTCACGAGAGTCGTCAGCCGAGAGCTGTATTATCATCCCAGGTTTTCGATCGGCTGCAATGCCGTAATTTTGATGATGACCCACGGTAAAAACCGTAGTTTGAAAGGACTGAAATATCGTCACAGAGAGGAGGAGGGTGAGCGGCACCCATGGGTCAGGGACAGGAAGCCGACAGGACACTTCGTCGTCGTGATACTTCACAACCCAAACATTCCCTAGAAATATGATAAGTAAATTGATTGAAGGGTTTCAATGTCCTGGGTTCTGGTAAACTCGTGTGTTTCGCAGTGTGTCGTCGTACGTGTCACTGTGTATGTCGCTGTGTGTGCTGTCGCGATCAATTTGAACGATGCTGGCTAGTCCAGGGCCATCACCAGCGAACTTTATGGGTACGCTAATGTATTTAGTGCAGCACTCTAATACTGTGGCAACTAGAAATCCAGTACAAGTATTTTCTTCATTGTACCCACTCCCGAGTCTCTAGCTTGCCCTCCAGCT